TGATTGGAGGTGTACCTAGAACAAGTCAGGAATTTTTGGCAGAAACTGTTTTTGTTTTTGTTTTTTTGGGCTGACTCGAAAAGGTGTTGGTGCAAGGGGGAAACGCTTTGAAATTGTCCAATCGTGCGGTTTCAACATTTTCTAAAGGAAAAGTTCTCTTTCTGGTCCAAAATGACTTTTTGTTTTGAAATATAACTTAATTTATCCAAAAAAGAAATTAAAAACAAACCAAAAAAAAGGTCAAAATCTAAATGAAATGTTTCAATCAACCCAAATGGAACTGTTTTTCAGTTTGTTGGTTTGCAAACATTTTTGAGATTTTTGTTTCAATTCATGATAGCAAATTTATTCCGAAATCTCAAAAATTTTTGTGGGACAGGAAAACCATTTTCCTGTCCAGCCCTAGTTTTATCCTTGATGTCACTGCGAAGTTCCAAGTTGCTGAAAGTTGCAGCATAGTGATAGGTGTGGTGGTGTTGGTGGCCATAGATTTGTGATGAAATTTCTCTCTCCTCATAGGCATGTTGTAAGGGTTATTAGTGTCTTACAGCACTTTGAAGATGTAATGTGCCATGTAAGTGCAAGATATTGTTTATTATTATCATTTCTTTATGAAATGAGATACAAACCATTAAGTTTAAAGGCTCAAGGCCAAACCTCCGTGCGCCCTGACAGAATGACAAAAAACCCTAATCACAGCTATTATATTGATCAAAAGCTTAACTAAACAAATACAGAGTCATCAGTCTGGATGATAAAGAGTAGATCTCAGTGTAAACAGGCTCATTGGTTATTAGTATTGATAATTTCTGCAGATTTCTGATAGCTGCAGGCAAGAAATCTTGCCATTTGGATTGGGATCAACTGAGTACCTAAAACTTTATTTAAACTCTCTACTTCTTGGGTAGAGAATGGGAATAAATAGAATGGGAATAAAAACTGGCATTTTCATCTTTCTCATACAACTTGCTTCCTTTTGGGCTAGCTTTTAGGTCTGGTCAAAAATTGGGGTTTTGACTCAATTAAAATTTTCAAGGGAAGTGTCTGCTTTCCTTGAAATTTTGGGATTTGATTTTTTTCTTGGGGGGGGGGGGAGGTGTCAGAAAACTGAAAAAAAATAGTTTAGGCCAAAAACATTTTGTTTGTCAATTGAAAACTGTTTTGGTTTTGGCTGAATTCCCAAAGTTTTCAAGTTGGGGTTTTTTTCAAAAGAAATCTAAAACGGGAAAAAATTATTAAAAACATTTTCCAACCACCTCTACTGCGGTATAGAATGTGGGACAGCTTCTGGCAGTTGGGCTTCTGGTCTCATATAAAAGTGAGAAATACAGACATCAAGGAAAAAGAAAACTATAGGGAAAGTTTCGTAGGTTTTTTTAGATTTCCCCCTCTATTCCCCTCCCGCCCCCGCAAAAAAAAATTAGATAGGTTTTTCTTAGAGAATTGTCTCTACCAAACCCCAGTGCCTGAGACTTTGGCCTTGTCTATATTAGACATTTTTATCATGCTTAAAAATGACCTTTAATAATCAAGTTAGCTAACACGATGCTGACCATGACCTTGTTGTGTGTGTAGACATGGACAAATTGTCTTTAGCATCATGTCACCTGTTCTGGCTAAACCATGAATCCAGTAGGGTGGGTCCCAGCATCAGATTAGCTTACTTGATTGTTAAAAATCAAACATGGTAACATTTGCTAATGCAGATTCATCTAAGGTCAGAGCCTGAAAGGAGATTTGTAAATTGCCTCATATCTTTATTCCAGGACAGAACTAAAACCTGGATCAAAACTCCCCTGAACTTTGAGAAGTTGGACTTGGATCAGAAACTTATTTGAGCCCATCTCGAGTTCTTACAGGAGCTGTTTCCCCATCCCTAGTTACTCAGAGCCAAATCTTGATATCTTTAATCAGGCCTAGATCCTGCACTTGACTCTGTGTGAAGTGGGGAGAGGGGGTAGTAGGAGGGGGGCAGCCCCTTGACTTCATCTGGAGTTGATTGCAGGATCGGAGCCTCAGTTTTTACTCAGGCAAAATTGCCATTGGAGCCAGTAGTCAAACTGGAATAAAGAGCTCAGGGTTTGAATGATACCTGAATTTTACCATTGTTAATAGTAGTGGAATTGCTAATAGCAGCATCCAGAGTCTCCAGGGAAGATCAGGGCTCCATTGTGCTAGGTGCTGTACAGACACATAGGCCAGTATTTTGAGAAGACTTCAGCTTCTACAACTGAGGACAGATTTCTTTCAAAGAGCTTGCTTCCCATTCAGGCTCATATATAAGTGGCCAGATTTTTCAGAAAGGTCTGCAGGTTGGGTGCTGAGCACTTGTGAAAATCTGGGTTTTACATAGGTTTCTAAATGGGAGCTGAGCTTCTTTGAAAATCTGGCCCATGGCACGAGATTGTCAGTTGCAGGATGACGCTGGTCCTTAGGAGGGAAGAGGCCAGCACACCTGCGACTGTTCAGTTGACTTCCAGTTAGGCTTAAGTGAAGGCACTTGGGGGGCCTGAGAAGGGGGAGAGCCTGACGACAGAGTGGGTCAGTCCAGGAGATTGGCAGATGAGAGATGCAGGAGATTGGAGGAGGTCTCTGGGGAAAGCTGCAGAGAGCAGGAAGAAAGAGTAATTATCAGGAAGCCGGTGGATGGCTAGGGTGCTGACCTGCCTCAGCCTGAGAGCCAGTGCCAGGAAGTTGGAAAGATCTGGGGGCTAGGAGGCCAGAGGAGGACCAGCCTGCTGACCTTCCTGAGCCAAAGAACCCAAAACAAGAGGGATGGTGCTGGAGGGTGGATCCCAGGAGCAAGGCTAGGACTCCCAGGAAGGGAGTAACACTGTGAGAAGCGCCCTCACAGCAGTCCTGGGCCTGGGAGGGGGCTGCAGAAACCTGAGCCCAGAACAAGGGGTTGGTCCCGGAGGGGGTTCCCTGAGCAGTGGTAGGACTCACAGGCAGGGAGGCCTGGGGCAGTGGAACACTACGAGGTGTTTTGTCATGGGAGAACTGACTTGGAGCTGTTGGGGAAGAGTCATGAGAAAGAAGCAAATCTGGGAGCTCTCAGGAGATAACCTGGAAAGTGGAGCCCTAGAACAAGGGCAGAGTCTGGGAACAGACTGGAGATGGGGTCTCAGGAATACAGGGCCGCCCAGAGGATTCAGGGTGCCTGGGGCAAAGCAATTTCGGGGGCCCCTTCCATAAAAAAGTTGCAATATTATAGAATACTATATTCTCATGGGGGCCCCTGCGGGGCCTGGGGCAAATTGCCCCACTTGCTCCCCCCTCCCCCCCGGGCGGTCCTGCAGGAATATGAGCTGGAAATAAAGACCCAGGAGGGGGCATGGAAAACTGCTGTGAACCTGTCATATTTTGGGAAGGATGGTTTTATCGGGAGGGTTCTGTGGACTATTGAACATGTACAGCAATACATTATGTCCAGAGATGGGCTTTGTATCAGACACTGAGAAACTGTGATCCTTTCATGGGCAAAAGAAAGGGGAAACGGAGGCAGTCACCCTCATGCTGTGGTGTAGGAGGGCACCTCAGGTGGGGACCACCCTATGACTCTGTCCCACCCTTTACATGGAAGGTGTATGAAGCCCTAAATAGACATGGTACACAAAGGGTGGGAGGGGAAACATAGTCACAGAAGTGATGTGCCCAAGGTCACACAGCAGGTCAGTGGCAGAGTTGAGAGTAGGAACCAGGTCTCCTGAGTCCTGGTCCAGTGCCCTATCTGCTGCTTTTGAATCTGAACAAGGTATGGGGATGGGGGATAAAGTATCAATAACTATGCATCTCCATCCCTGCACTGGATATTAAACTTTATATTTTTATGACAAAAAGCAATTAACCTAGTTAAGGAAAGAAAAAAAAACCATTTTCAATATATTTACATTGTAATGTGGCACTTTTAATTAAATTCCCTTTATGTGGATGATTGATTTGTATATTTCACAGCCCCTGCCTGGCCCCTTTAAAATCACTTTCGTTTTAAATCTGCAAGTATCCCCTCCCCTTCCTCCCCTCCACCTCTTCCCCTGCTGAATAAAGAAAATAAAACAATTTATAATTCGCACAAGAAAAATATTCAGGTTAGAAGGATTTTTTTTTAGAGCATGCAGCTTGCTAAATATGCAGGAAACAGGTGCTTTATTTAGTCTTTTACAGTCACTGCAAGAAAAGCATGGCATCAACATATAATAATCTAGGCAGGGAGATGGGGTAGGGGGCAGGAGGGGGGAGAAGCAATCTGTGTCTTTAATTTTCTTTTCTGAAAGGGGAAAGTCTGCATAGCAATGACAGGATCACTTGTTCATGCCTTTAATGTGCGATCTGTTTTCTCCAGTGGAGGGCACTCAGTGTATCGCAAACTAGAACATTAGCACCAACAAGCTCCAGAGCACCATCACTCTCTGGAAAGCCTTCTGAATTAGACAAGAGCTGCCTCTCAGCACAGCTACAAAACACTTTAAACCTGACCAGCTAAATGGATAAACCTGTCCTGCATAGCTTTTAAACTGGGCTCGTCTTATACAGCGCAGGAGGCCTGTCTGCTTCAAGAACTGGAGAGCTGGAAGATGGATTGCTGTGTCTGGGAATGGCAAAAGGCAGCAGAATAAGGGATGCTAGGTACCGGGGAAGATTTTCTTATTCCTCCCAGAGAAGTTGGCTTACCTTCATGGTGTGCTATTGCTTTTACATGCAGATTGCCAGTTAATGCTGTCGGTTCTCTAAAGACTTACACAATGGCTCTGAGAGCTTAGGGTCCCCCCCATCTTCTCTGTACCCCCATCCCTGGTCCTGTCTTCCCCACCCCTGTCCCCTTCCCCATCCCTTCCTTCCCTTATCCCCAAAATTCTTGCTTGTCCTCTCTAGGGAACTTTGTGTGGGTTACTGGCATGCACGCCGGATGGTGGTGATGTGACTGGCAGCTGTGCTGTGACATGAAGGTTGCAATGGTTTAAAGAAAGGAGACCAATTTTAAAAAAAAAACAACACAAAAGCAAGAGTGAGACAGAGAGGAGAAAACAGCTGGAGGAAGAAAAAGGGGATACATTTGTGGATGACAAAAGGATGGGTAAGTGAACTTTTGTTGTATCCTTCTTAGCACGGTTGTAACTGTACAGTATATTTTTCAGTCTGATTATTAGCTGTTACAAGAGGGAGAACAATCTAAACAGCAGCAGTGCATTTCTTTGCCAGGTGACTCACTGTACTTGCTATTATATTTTTAGATCATGTTTCCCCCTTCTTTCCTCCTGCAGTGTTTTTATATGTAATTAATTAAATGCATGCACTGAGTTAAGGACTGTACAAAGTACATTCACAATCTATATAAACCACCCACACACCTCTACATACATAGATAAGTACATATATAGATCCATGAGAGAGTCACATAGGATTTCTTCTGGGTTTATATTCATATGAAATAAGCCTGTAGATCTCTTATGCAGGCTGTCAGGAAGGATGTTTAACACTTTGCAGCTTGTGAGGAGCGTGTGTGTGTGTGGGGGGGGGGGGGGGGGGGGGGGTTTTTTTGTTTGGGGGGGTTTGGGGGGGGGGGGGGGGGGGGGGGGGGGGGGGAGGGGTAATGGATTTTGTTGTTTAGGTGGTTTTGAAACGGCTCACTGGATATCTGAAAAGATATCCCTAACGTAGCTGCTAGATTTCCAGCAGTCATTTGCCAGTCTTATTTTTTCAAGTGTGACAGTTTTATCTCCCCCACCCTCACTCCAGTCTATAATAGCTCAAACATATTTCTGTGCTGCTGTTGGCACATAAGCAATAGTGAAAGATCAGGATTTAAATTAAAAACCTACCCATTAAAGTGAAAGGCAGAGACACATAGTCAGGGTCTTTTTGGATTAAGAATTCTTGCACTGATTGCCTCTTGGTTTAAAATTGGACCATAAAAGCAAATAACTGCAGCACAGTATTTGAGTGTGTGTGAGAGAGAGAGAAACGCGCACACAAATAATAAAGCCACTATTTATAGCGGAGATAAATTCTCCTGATGGAAGAAAGCAGCCTAATTGTGAGTAAGATTACAACTCTGGAGAGAGCTGGTGGTCCCAAAATTATTACAGCCTTTGAGAAAGTGTGCACGCCTATGTGTGTGTATTGGATTTTCTGAGACCTCTTCTCATGATTATTCAGACAATGTAGAAAATGTGACTGTGCTCACATAACAGCATTAATACCGAATAACCAATCTGACATCTGAAGTGCAAAAGATTAAAATCAGCAGCAGAGAGGAGGGGGATTCAGATTCAAATTTCACTCTTTAAACTTTGTAGTTTTTGCTGCTCTGTTATAAAGGCAACATTCCTATATAAGTGTATATATATTTACATACAGTGTATACAATATACACCTATATAGTGTTATCTATTTATATATAGATGTTAGCTATGTGTGGATACATATGCACATATATATAATAAATCATGATCATTTTATTATGACATATAAATGTTAATGTAACTATCAGCATGATATCTTGGTCCGGTACAAATGTTATATGATATAGATACACATATATGTTTGTGTTATGTGTGCATGTATGGAAATGAGAAGTCACTGAAATGCAGTCTCAGAAGTATTATTCAGAATGCTGTTCGGTAATGCTTACATCTAATGTTCCATTATGCAATAAAGAGACATTTTAAAGGCAAGGGACAAACTTTATTATATATTGGCCTGCTTGCTGTAGCTCTTATTTTATATTAATTGTTTGGGATTGGATTACGAAAGATTTACATGCAGTTGGGTTTATTAAGGAACATTTTACTTGTTGAACTACCAGAAGCTGTCTCTCATTTCCTTTTCCAATAGTACAGTGAATTCAGCACAGTGACTTGACAAATATGTGTATTGCTAAAGCTTCAGCTTCTAATGATAAGGCTATACCAGCTACGAAGAGTGCTGATGTACAGGAGAACAAGTGACTAGCAAATGGGTTCCCAGTCATCCTAAGGGGTCATAAATCACACAAAAGTAATTGAATAACAAGAGTGGCGGGGGTGTGAGGGAAGGTAGGATAGGAACTCAAAAAAACAGACATTTATACAATGAACATTGCAAGAAAGGAGCCAAACGGGTTGTCTTCAAATCAACTATACCACTAATGCCTTAGCAGAAACCCCATTGACGTTAGTAATCTGCTGCTGATTTATTTTAATAGCTTTACAATGGATATTTGTCTTCTTTTTAATATTGTAGGTTTCCATTTAATTAAGCGGCTGAGAGGCATGAGTGTGGTGTTAGTGCTACTGCCTACGGTCCTGTTTCTTATGCTCGCAGGGGCTCAGCGAGCTTGCCCCAAGAACTGCAGATGTGATGGCAAAATTGTGTACTGTGAATCACATGCATTCAGAGATATCCCTCAGAATATTTCTGGAGGGTCTCAAGGCTTATCGCTACGGTACAACAGCATCCAGAAGCTTAAATCAAATCAGTTTGCAGGCCTGAATCAGCTCGTATGGCTTTATCTTGACCATAATTACATCAGCTCCGTAGACGAGGATGCGTTTCAGGGGATCCGTCGGCTGAAGGAATTAATTCTGAGCTCCAACAAAATTACCCATCTGCACAACAAAACATTTCACCCGGTCCCCAATCTCCGCAATCTGGACCTTTCTTACAACAAGTTGCAGGTGTTGCAATCTGAGCAATTTAAGGGCCTTCGCAAACTCTTGATCTTGCACTTGCGGTCGAACTCATTGAAAACGGTGCCAATCAGAGTTTTTCAAGATTGCCGAAATCTCGATTTTCTGGATTTGGGCTACAACCGTCTGCGGAGTTTATCCCGTAATGCTTTCGCTGGCCTCTTGAAGCTAACAGAGCTCCACTTGGAGCACAATCAGTTTTCGAAGATCAACTTTGCCCACTTTCCACGCCTCTTCAACCTCCGCTCTATTTATTTGCAATGGAATAGGATCCGGTCTATTAACCAAGGGCTAACATGGACTTGGAGTTCCTTGCACAACTTGGATTTATCGGGGAATGACATCACTGGGATAGAACCTGGGACCTTCAAATGCCTGCCCAACCTGCAAAAGCTGAACTTGGATTCCAACAAACTCACCAACGTCTCTCAGGAGACTGTCAATGCGTGGATCTCGCTAATATCCATCACTCTGTCCGGAAATATGTGGGAATGTACTCGAAGCATTTGCCCTCTTGTTACTTGGCTTAAGAATTTCAAGGGAAATAAAGAAAGCACTATGATATGCGCGGGTCCTAAGCAAATCCAGGGCGAAAAGGTGAGCGATGCTGTGGAAACATATAATATCTGTGCCGAAATCCAGGTTGTGGTCACTGAAAGATCATACCAGCCACCTAAAACACCCCAGAGACCTCTCTTTATCCCCAAACCTACCATTTCCAAACTGGAAAACAATCAAATGACCTCTGTGATGCCCACTCCTTCTCCAGACTTACCAACACCTGGAACAGAACCAGAGTATGAGCATGTTTCCTTTCATAAAATCATTGCTGGGAGTGTCGCCCTCTTTCTTTCAGTGGCTATGATTTTGTTGGTTATCTACGTGTCTTGGAAGCGGTACCCAGCCAGCATGAAACAACTGCAGCAACACTCTCTCATGAAGAGGCGCAGGAAAAAGGCCAGAGAGTCCGAAAGGCAAATGAACTCCCCTTTACAGGAGTATTACGTGGACTACAAGCCGACAAACTCTGAGACCATGGATGTATCAGTTAATGGATCTGGGCCCTGCACATATACCATCTCTGGCTCCAGGGAATGTGAGGTATGAACCATGATCCTCCTAAAACCATTTCAGCTGCTGAGAAGGAGAGGTAAATGTTTGAAGCTCTTGAGGTGTTTCTAATCACTAGAAAGATTAATGAGCCTTTTTGCTTTTGGGTTTGCTCAGTGTGAAAGGTTATTTAATTAAATTACAACAATCAGGGAAGTGACAGTGGCTATTTTCAATAGTTTAAACTTGAAAGAAGTTCATTCAAGGATGAGATTAAGTTGGAATAAACAGCCATGTTAAAGGCATCTGAGGCCCGATTCTCCTCTTGCATGTACCCCTTTTACACTGGTGTAACTCTATTGGCTTTACGGGAGTCACTCCCCAATTTGGAGAGGATTAAGGCCCCTGCTATTTAAGAGAATGCAGATAGACTAGTAGTATTAAAAAAAGTGTTTATATCTGAGTTTATGCCAGATCATATCACAAAAATGGACTCATAAAGATGATGCTGTTTAAACTTGTTACTAACATTTCCACATTTGGTCCCTGATGCAGCAAACCACATAAGCACAATGGCACCATTATAGTTAAAGCACTGCTTTGCTGAATAGTGATGGATTTAAGCACTTGCTTATGTGCTTTGCTGAACTGGGGTCATGAAGAAGACCCAAGTCAAAAGATACATTTGCAAGTGCCTGCTATTTTTGCCGTAAACTTTCAGTGGATACACCTCAATTGTGGTCAAGAGAGTTCTACCCTCTTACGCCAGGTGTCACTTTGGTTCTGAGTGTTTGGTAGATACAGGCAGGAATAGCCATCATTGTCTGTGTCCCATGTTCTTAAACTTTGTCAGCTTAAAGTTGAGCTGTCATAGACATTTTCTGTAATTATTCGAACGTGGATAAATAAAAAGGGGGGTTGCTTTTGATCACCACTGCTCATTTATACTTGGTAAAAAGGATTTAAGCAATTACAGTGTGTCCTATTAGCAACTAATACTTGGTAACTTAATGTTGTGTGCACTCTACTGGTATTAAAACAATGGCGGACCATTGTTGTTGTAGAGACCCGAACAGGAAACTTTAAGTGTGTATTGTGCCTGATTCACATCCCTCATATTCCCACTGATGTCAGTGGGTCAGGTTGAAATCAGCATGGAGTTTGGCCAGTCTCTTTGGCAACCAGACGTTTAAAGATTAAGGCCAAGTATTTTTAAAAATCGATAGTGATTTTGGTGACCAACTGGAGACACTTTCCAAGGGCCTGATTTTTAGAGGCTAGTTATTCTGCACTTTCTGAAAATAGAGCCTCTTTATGGTGTCTCAAGTTGGGCATCCAAAATCACCACTTGCTTTTGGAGCATGTTGGCCTAAAAGAGGCTGATGAGAAAAAGTGAAAGGCTGTGATTTGTGGTTATTTTTCTTAGAGCAACATCCCTGTTGAAAATGAATGACCTGTTATATCCATTATTGCCATCAAAATTAATTGAGAAAGCAGGTGCAAATTCTGCTGTCAGCAACACCAGTGGAAAACAACTGAAGTCAGTGGAATTACTCTGAGTTTGCACTGGGGTCACTGGGAGTGCAATTTGACTCACAAGGTCTAATTCTGTTCTCTCACAGGTTTTATAGCAGTGTAGTTCCATTAACTTCAGTGATGTTCATTTTTATTTACACCAGAGTAACTCAGAGGAGAATTAGGTCCCTCTAAGGCATGATTCAAAGCCTATTGAAATCAAAGGAATTACTATAACGGCGTTAGTGCATAGAATATGCTATAAGTCTGAAGTCATTTTAGGTTTGAAAATAAATTATACTGGTGTGAAATCATGGCATACAAATTGAAAGGTGGGGGTCTTCTCTGGCAATTAACACAGGGCTTATATGGCATAATTTCTTCATGCTGAAGTTGATCTTAATGCAAAATTAAAGGCTGAGAGAATGTCAGGCCATGGTGAGGTCACCAAACAGAGGTCACCTGCTTGCAATACATTGTTTTAGTATCTGGTTGATACAATTGATTGCTTTACTAAGAAAAATAATTTAAGCAAGATTTTAAAACCATTTGCCTTTCCAGTGTTTGTTATAAAAGATGGCAAATGCAACATAACTTTTGACAACACATTTTCAAATTTTATCCTGCATTTAGAAGGCTTTGATAACTGAATACCGGTGTGTTCATAATCAAACTATAGACATTCCGATGCATATAAGCAGTGATGACATTTAATACAAATGTATTTAATTGGAACATTTGCCCTCTCTTTAAATGCAGTCTGACATAGTGAGCTAGATTTTCAGCTGCTGTAAGTCAATGTAGCTCTATTGCCTACAGTAGAACTACATGCATTTTCATCAGCTGAGGATCTGGTGCTGTAATTCCTGAAAACCACTTTTGTGTTTTAGGTATTAGAGAATGTTCTGAGTCCTAAATGTGTGCACTGGAGAAGTGTAGATTTATTGGATCAGATTTAGGATCTGACCTATAGTTTGCCCTTTGGATGTAAGATTCATAAAGGTCCCACCCTATATTATGCTCTTCAGGCTGAATTCTGGTCTGTTACACCATTGCAAATCTAGAATAACCAGTTAGTTCTGATTTGAACCTATGTAAGTGGGAGCAGAATTTGGCCCTATATATTGAGGACCATTTAAATGGAAGTCAAGGCTTACAAGGCCAAGAGGGAAAATGTTAGCCAGCTATAGCCAGTGTTTCCTGCTTAGTTGGATGAGTGATATTTTTTACCACTAAATAACAATCCAGTCTTAAGAGGACAATGGCAGAGGAGACTCCAGGGTCAATTTGGTAGAGGAACTATCAACAGGCCAGACCCTAGCTGATGTAAATTGGTGTGGTTCCATTAACTTCAGTGAAGCTAGGCTGAAAATCTTGCCCTACATTCATGATGAGACTTGTTATTTCAGCCATCCAAAGGGTTGCCTGCAGTTAATCACATGGGTCATGATCTTCCAACGACATTAATAACCTTTGTTCATGTGAACAGTCCTATTCTCAATCTCTCCTTAAAGCTCACCTGTGCTGTGATGCCAATAACACGCTAGACAATGGCTGGGCAACTGGTGTGTAGCAGCCACTGCTTTTCCTGCTAATCGCTAATGTCTTGCTGTTTTCATGGGCTCTATCTCTCTGTTTCGTACATCTCTTCTTGTAGCTATTGTCTCTCGTCTTATACTTGGATTGTAAGTTGTCTGGGGCAGGGGCTGCCTTTTTGTTACTGCCTGTGTAGCATCTAGTGCCATGGAGCCCTAGTCTCTGACTTCAGGTGCTATTCAGGTGCTCTGACTTCAGGTGAATTTGCTTCGGTGGTTCTGCTCATGTGAGTAAAGCATGTGAATGTTTGCCAGATTCAGGCTATAGACCGTGTATTCTATGGGCCTGATAGTCAGCTGGCGTTAATCAGTGACGGTACATTGAAATCCATGGAGCTACTTCAGTTTACGGTTGCTGGAAATCTGGCCCTGTATTTGCAAAACGACTTATTGACCATTAGTTGTTTTAGTACAGAAGACTCAGGGAGACATTGAAGACACATGTAGCATCCATAAGCCCCTGCTGAAATACTATCCTCGGCTTGGATTTAACATTCTTTGTCTCCATAGCTACCAGGTTCCACTTGTAAAAGGGTAGATATGCACCATACAGTACTTACAAATTGGAAATAAAAATCATAGTATCTTAAGCAATAAAAGGTTTCATAATTGAGGGGAAATGGGAATGGAATATATTATTAATAATTAAATACTCAGGCAGATATACTTCTGAAAGGACTCATATTTTGTAAGGGAGCGAGAGTCATAACTCAGGGCTATCATTTCCCACAGGTCTGACTGGCTCATTCCTTGTGCCCAAGCTCAGCTTTCACAAAGAAGAAAGATTTAGAGGGAAAAGAAGGTCAAGTTCTCATAATAAAGTGCTAGTATTTTTAAGGACACATTGAAGTTGCTCAACTTTTTTTTATTGATTTTACTATTTTTTTTCTTTAAATCTTTGTCTGCCTCCAAAAAACCCTTAGAAGCAAAAGCAACCATCTCCGCACTTGAAAAATGTGTGTGCTGCAGGAAGGAAATGCTGAATTAACCACCTCATTGCATTATAACCTAGGGAATGTGCTGGCATGTTCTAACACTGGGAGACAGTAGATGATTTCCAAGCCTGGGCTAGGGCTGTATAGGCTCTGCAGGGTCACCTATTGCTTTTGCTGTATGGAGCCCATAATTAGACGTACCCAGCCAAACTATAGATACAGACTCCATATTTTCTCATACATAACTGGCACTGACAGACTCACTTAGGTACTTCTGGGTACTCATTTAGGCCCTAATGTAGCAGAGCAATTAAGCAGATCAGGAGATGCATTGACTCCAGCAGGACTATTCATATGCTTAAAGCAGTGCATGTTCTTAAGTGCTCTACAGAATCAGGACCATATCCTGCAAATAGGGGAGTAAATTGCATGGCCGCATTTTCAGAATGGTCTTTTTTTTGTTGTTGTTGTTGAAGTGAAACAAGGAGAATTACCTCTAGTTTTACAAATATAGAGCCAAATTCAAACCTGTTATAAACGGGTGCAACTCCACTGGGATCAATGGCATATAATTGGTTACACCTGGCCCAAAGTGTTCCATTTAGCTGTCTGGCAAGGCTTATAATTTTGGCTCATACCACTCTGTTAGCAGGCTGCAGCTAGCTTCCTTTGGCATTTGCAGTGCACACCTGTGTGCACACATACTTCATCTCTCTCATTTGTACGCTACTGTTCACACCTCTACAGTGAAAAGGCAATTTTATCAGCCACACTGTATTATGATGCACATAACATGTCCCATCCAAATATATTTTGAGATGGAACCCTGTTACAAAAAATGAAACCAAACAAAAAATCCACTTCTAGCAGAAGTTTCCTCACCTACTGCTCCTTAACCCAAGGCCTATGCGCCAGTTGATTTGCATTTTAGCCCTGGAAATAGGCCATCTATTGGGACATAACGTAAGTGATGTATGCAGGCCTAGTGCAGGATTTCTATGCAGGA